GTGGAGGAAAACGTTTCCTGACTCGCTCCTCCAAAACACCCCATAGTGGCTCAATAATATTCAGATCTGGTGACTGTGCAGGCCATGGGAGATGTTCAACTTCACTTTCATCTTCATCAAACCACTCTGTCACCAGTCTTGCTGTGTGTATTGGTGCATTATCATCCTGATACACGGCACCACCTTCAGGGTACAATGTTTGAACCATTGGGTGCACATGGTCCTCCAGAATGGTTCGGTAGTCCTTGGCAGTGATGCGCCCATTAGCACAAGTATTGGGCCTAGGGAATGCCATGATATTGCAGCCCAAACCATCACTGATCCACCCCCATGCTTCACTCTGGGCATGCAACAGTCTGGGTGGTAAGCTTCTTTGGGGCTTCTCCACACCGTAACTCTCTCGGATGTGGGAAAGACAGTGAAGGTGGACTCATCAGAGAACAATACATGTTTCACATTGTCCACAGCCCAAGATTTCCGCTGCTGGCACCATTGAAACCGACGTTTGGCATTGGCACGAGTGACCAAAGGTTTGGCTATAGCAGCCCGGCCATGTATATTGACCCTGTGGAGCTCCCGACGAACAGTTTTGGTGGAAACAGGAGAGTTGAGGTGCACATTTAATTCTGCAGTGAGTTGGGCAGCTGTGGTTTTATGTTTTTTGGATACAATCTGGGTTAGCACCCGGACATCCCTTTCAGACAGCTTCCTCTTGCGTCGACAGTTACTCCTGTTGGATGTGGTTCGTCCTTCATGGTGGTATGCTGACATTACCCTGGATACCGTGGCTCTCGATACACCACAAAGACTTGCTGTCCTGGTCACAGATGCGCCAGCTAGACGCGCACCAACAATTTGTCCTCTTTTGAACTCTGATATGTCTCCCATTATGTTGTGTGCATTGCAATAGTTTATGTAAAACTGTGCTATTGCTCTGCTAATTCAACCTTCACACTCTGCTCTTACTGGTGGAATGTGCAATCAGTGAAGATTAGCCACCAGGCTGCACAAATATAGCCATGAAACCGCCAACACTATATTGGCCAGTGTTTCAGTTTCATTGTCCAACCCCTGTATATATATATATATATATATATATTCATTCATTCATAAGAATGATATAAACAGTAATTTATACAACTAAATTAGCAAATCTTTCTGTTTATTTCCCTTAATAACACATTGGTCGATGCATCATACATCTATTTTAAGTCTCTTATTTACTTCACTCATTCTTATTCACAAATGTCTGATAAACATTAAATATATTTCCATGTATTCTAAGCATTATACTAAATTTACAGAATGTTTTATAACATCCAATAGGGACATCTCAGCATATTGTATTCATCTCAGCAAATGTATTCTATTACACTCTAAATATGACATCTAAATCAGTGGTTCTCAACCTTTTTGACTCCAAGGGCCATTAGGATATACACAACAAAATTAGGTACTCCTTGTATTAAATAATAATAATAAAGCAATTAAAAAACAATTAAAATTGATAAAATATATGATGACAGCTCAGTGGCAATTTGACCTCTTTTCATAAGTCAAGCTAGTCTTCTACTATATCTTATAGATATATTAGTTATATTTAGATTTTTGATATGTTGTATTGATACATCATATTGTTAGTCATCAATGCATCGATTCATATATTTGCTTAATATCCTGTTTCTATTATTTAGATTAATATTTTCCACTGGGAAGGATTTATTTGTGCTATTGTTTATATTTAGAATGAAAGCTGTCACCAGGAAGAGTTATTTGTATTTTATAGTTATTTGTATTTATTTGTTATTTGTACTTTTATTGCTTGTTATATACTGTATAACAAAAAATATATATATATATATATATTTGTGCGTAAGAGCCGAGCTGTCCTGCAGCAGTTTCGATTTGAGCCACTCGCATTTCTCTTTTTTTTTTGAGTTACATAAGCACTTTACTGCATCCTGCTAACTCTTCAAAAACAACACTTAAATCCTTCCCTGTTCTAGTCTGTACTATTCTAGACAATGTATGAAACTTTGTATTGTTAGCACTTCTCATGTTATTAAGATGAATCACTTGTATTGCTCATTTGTTAGTCTTTGGATAAAAGTGTCTGCTAAATGAATAAATATAAATGTAAAATACTTGTAAATAACTATATTCAAAAACAGACATTTCAGGAAATGTATGATTTTAAGAGTTCACACTTTTTAATGACATTTACATTCTATTTCCAATCGTTTGTGATAACGGGAAAAGGTGTTACTTTTTTTTTAAATTCACAATTAGCAGTTTCTCTGCTATTTCTGCCTGATGCAATATTTTAGAGATAAACATAACTGAAACAAAAATGACATTCATTATAATAATTTCTATGACTTCTCCATGACTAGAAATCCACTTTTACATCTTTTAAAATATTCAGGATCCCCTGGTTCTTAAATAAAAATGACAGTTGTTGAGTGAAGACATTAAAATAAGAAATATGTCTTGATTTGAGGTGTTTTAGCTTTCACTGTATAAAATCTTTTGAAATGGCAAATCAAACAAAGATTATGGGAGTATGCTTTACAAGAAAATACTATTTCAGTCTCTCTCTCATTTGTAAAACTTCCAAGCAATTTCTCAGTGTATATGGTTACAAAATAAATTTGACACCATTTTTTAGTGTATTTTATTGGCCGTTTTGTCTTAATTTAAATCATTTTAAGCCATCTTGTGGCTCTTTTGGAAATGTGCTGAGGTCTCCTAGTAGGTCCCGGTCCACTAGTTGAGAACCACCGGTCAAGACGTATGATTACATATGTGTGCCATCTGGGTATCTTACTTCCACAAATGATCAACTAATTTATTAAGAAAAATTCTATGGGAAAACCCACCTTCAAGTCAAGATGAGCAATCCTGCATGTGTGAAGGTAGTGTAAAGCTTCGAGAATATCCCGTAGGTAAAGAGACACCTTTTCTTCTGTCAAGTTCCCCCAGCTAACAATATAGTCCAGGAGACGACCTTGATCAGCACTGATGTGCAAAAAAACAACAACAAAATGTGTCATGACAAAATGTGTTACCCCAAAAAAAACACTTTCCATCAGTCTTAAATGAATGGTATTATCATTAGCATTGCCATTATGTGTGGGAATATACTGTTACAGATAAAGAAGAAAAGTTCACGTACATCTCCAGGATGAGAACGTAACTGGCTGGGGTCTCGTAGGTATCCAGCAGACTCACCAGGTGAGGATGCTGAAGACACTGTAGGACACCCAGCTCTTGAACCACCTGCTCTCGACGCATTAGCTTCTTATTTACTAGCTTAGTGGCCACTGATCGCCTGCTTCCTCTTTGCTCACACCACTTAGTGACGGCAAACCTGCCTCTACAGACAGACAGAAATGAAACATTAACTGGTTTAAAATGTTAGCTATTCATAGAGATACATGACTGTGTTTTATTTTATATCTACATTTAGTTCATTCAGAATGTTAGAACATTTCATTCGTACAGTACCTCCCCAGTTCCATGACTTCAGTGTAGAGGGATTCAAAGTTATCCTTCCAGAGGATCCCGTCACAGGAAGTGCCTACAAAAAACAACAACGTTGGTGACTTGACTCGACTACTATTACACATTTTTGGGTCCCACTTTATATTAAGTGGCCTTAACTACTATGTACTTACATAAAAAAATAAGTACAGTGTACTTATTGTGTTCATATTGTATCGCAAAACACTTTTGCTGCTATTGAGGTGGGATACGGGTAAGGTTAGGGACAGGTTTGGTGGTCTGGGTAAGTTTAAGGGTGGGTTAAGGTGTCAGGGATGGGTCAACAGTGTAATTATGAATGTAATTACACATGTAATTACATGCAGGTATTTTAAAAATATAAGTACAATGTAAAAACATGTATGTACACAATAACTGCATTGTACAAAATGATTCATTTAAATGTAAGTACATAGTAGTTAAGGCCACTTAATATAAAGTGGGACCAATTTTTGTTTTGAGCAGTGTTAACTGAAACTCAACTGACCAAGCACCCTGAGGTAGGCTGATGATGTCACTGAGCCCACGTCATTAGAGGCGATGCAGGTGTAGGTGCCGCTGTCGTCCAAAATGGCAGGTGAGATTCGGAGGGTCACTTCCCCTGTCTCACTGAACAAAAAGTAAACAATTAGGTGACAAAAATGTATAAATTGTAATGTATCAAAACACAAATGTACAGCATAGTCTATTTTAAAAAAATGGATTCCTGGAATACATCATCAGATAAAATATAATGGTAACACTTTACAATTAGGTTCCATTAGTTACTGTTAGTTCATGTATTAACTAACATGAAAGAACAATGAACAATATATTTATTACAGTATTTATTCATCTTAGTTCATGTTAATTAATGAAAATACAGTCGTTCATTGTTAATTCATGTTAATTCACAGTGCATTAACTAATGTTAACATGCACAACTTTTGATTTTAATAATGCATTAATACATGTTGAAATTAACATTAACTAAGATGAATAAATGCTGTAGAAGTATTATTCATTCTTAGTTCATGTTAACTAACGTAGTTAACTAATGTTAACTAATTAACCTTATTGTAAAGTGTTACCAACATAATGTATATAATGTATAATGACCACTAAATTATATATTGAATGTTGTCCCAAGCCAATTTGATCTCACATGCAATATAAATAATTCTCACAGAAGAAAACTATTTAATTAAATAAAATAAACTTTCCACTCAAATTTCAACTCAATATTTCATGTACATTCATTTATTAAAGCATTTCACTTATTTAATTGGTAAGTCACACAAATGTACAAAATAATTTACAGACAGCGAGACATTATCAGAAAAGAAACCACTTGTGGATGATACAAGATGCTTCACATCGGAGTCCAGATCACCCTGTCAGGGTTTATTTTGTGATTAAAAACTAGCTGATAGTACATTACCCTGTAAATGTATTCTTTTATGTTTTTAGTTTATTTACAAAATAAACTTATTTATTTACTAAATATTTGTACATTTTTACTTAATATATTTAACTTTTTTTTTTTAATTTTACAACTTTTTTAAGCTTTTATTTTTGTAAAATAACCAAAATTCTTTTTTAATTAAAATACTTTAGGTTTTTTTTTGTGTGTGTGTGTGTGAACTTACAACATTTTAATGTTCAGCACATTTTTACAAAAAGTATGCACATCTAGGAGCTCAACGAAGGTGCTCAACCATAAAAAATAACAAACAATGAAAACAAAGTTGGCACACCATAGCTCCAAAAGTAGAAAAATATTTATATAATAAATAAAATATTTATAATTTCTCACCAAAATTAACAGTTCGAGCCATGTAGATTTGAATCAAGAGCCACATGGCTCAAAACAGTACTTTTGGTGAGAATATGCCATAAATAAATAATACATATATTTATTTATTTATATTAAATAATATATATATTATTTAGCGATTCAATTTTACAATTCAAATATGTAATTAGGAATTTTGCTCACAAAGGAAATCAGATATTGTGCAAAGATGAGAGATTAAGTTCATCTATCCAATAGCAATGACAAATTGTGAAACTAAATGAATTTAGTTTTTGTCCAAATAACCAAATGCTACCAAATGTAGTCAGTGAACAACATTAACACAATTTCTCAGAAAAATTTGCATGCAAAATGTTTCTTTCAGTAAACAGTTATGAAAGTAGCAAAATGACTGTTCAAACTCGATCGGAAACCATAAAGCAAAAGTGCCCCCTGCAGTCTGTATAAGTGCATGACATGTACAATGATGTCTGTGTCCTGGTTTTTTACCTGTGTGTGAGTGTGTATCTTCCACCATTGCTGAGAGTGCTCTGGTCAGGCCCTCTCCAACAGACCGAGGCTTTGGGCTGCCCACAGATCTTACAGCGGAGAGTTACACTGTCGCCCCTGTCGCACACCACCTCACTCAAGGGGACCACAAACTCTGGGGGAACTGCTGCGAACAAATCAGAAACTTAGTCATTTGGCTGTTTCATTATGACACAAGAACAATTTATTCTATGCAGAGAGATTTCCAAGAACGAAAGAACAATATTTTTTACTAACCATCATAAATGTAGTTGGGATTCAAAAGCTGCAAAAAAAAAAGATAATTAGCAATGATGTAATAACTGAAAGTTCATATGTAGAAATGGTCATAACCATGAAATTTCATAATGAGTAATGATTACGTAATGAATCGTTAGACTGTTAAGGCAGTACCTTTACAGAAACCTTATTTGCTGGTCCATCTCTAGACTTGCGATAGCCATTCTCTGGTTTGCTCTCCTTCTTTCCCTCTTTTTCTCTCTTTTCGGACTTTCGTCTGATGCGTAGAGCTGTGTGCCACGATGAGGACTTCCTGATTGACAAATATAGCACTGTTTTAAGAGAGCTAATTCACAGCTAGATTATAAATATTAGACAACAAACAAGCAGTCAATATTGTTTTAAAAACGGTGGTGTCTTCTTTCACACTTGCAGCCTAAATTTAAGGTTAACATGAACTCTAAATGAACTTACATATTTAATAAACTTTCTTAATACACATCTAATTTTGACAGTTTATCAGTGCACATTCCCATATGGCAAAAAAAATTCTGACAAAAATATATTTTAAATATATGCTGTAAACAGAGAAGCTCAATGAAATTTTTGATATAGAGTATATATTTAGTTTCAACCCTTCTATACCAAATTTTTGTACCAAATACATTTCCAATCTTACAGTAGCCTACATTTAGGGTAAATGCGAATGTGGATGGATCAAAACTACATTAATAATTGAATAATGCTTATTTTATAAGATTATTTATATTATTATTATTTTATAAGCTTATTTTATGATTTAATTTTATTCAAATGTGCTATATGATGTGACATACGTGAATGTATTTTCTTGGATTGAAATATATAGTGCAAAATGTATTTTTTTCATATATTTATATTTTTAAAATATAAAAAAATATATTGGTAGAAAATATATATTTACGCAAATATATTTTAAAGCATATTTTAGCAAATTTTTTTTTTTTTGACAATTTTTGTATATTTTTAAATATATTTGAAGATTTATTCATGAATTTAAATAAATATAAATTTATTTATTTATCGTTTGCTGTATGGGTTATTCCAAAGAAAGCTTCAAAAATGTAATATTTTTTTTTTCATTATTATTTAAATGTTTTCAAAACCCAGTCGATTCCTTATGAATACAATCAAGTGCCATTTGACATGTATGTTGAGTATCCTGTTTAAATTTTAAAATATAATATGGAAGGATAATGGGTTTTGAGGCTGTGTTGCTGCAGGACCCATTGTCAAAATATATCATATCATATATCAAATCGTATCGTATCATATCATATCATATCATATCATATCATATATCATATCATATATCTATCATTTAATTTTTTTTAACTAATAGTTTTATTTATTTCTGATGCAGCTAGTAATTTTCAGCACGTTAACATGCAAAAGACAGCAACATGGATAAAATATAGAAATCTGTTGCTTGTATGAATAACAAAAATTGCAAAGGTCAACCCATGTGTTCCTGCTTCACTCTAGAAGTAACTAATCAGTCAATCTATAATCAATAACAATTAATAACCAATCCTCACTTGAGGGTTCCATCAGGGTAGTCGGGAATAATGGTGGAGGTGTGCCCCAGAACATAGCCAGGGATCCAGCCCTCGGCTGCTGGGCCTTGTTCTGTGGCGGCACGGAAAACTAGAAACATGTTTTGCTGGTTAGAGGCCAATGTCTGCACAACCTCTCCTTGATACACACTGATCTCATCTTCTTTTAGAGCCACATAGTCCTGGGTCACCAACATGGTTGACACACTGCTGCTGCTGCTACTTTCACTCTAAAAGCAGAAACATAGCAAAACATCAGAGTAGCAACTTTTACATTATTTATATTTGATTAAGAATTTCTGTAAATGGAGTATGTTGAAGACATTTAGTGAGCTGGACATGTCAGAGAGCAAGGATAAAGCAAGCGAGAGCAGTTCTAGGAAAAGATTTACAAAGGAAAGTTGTTTTAGTTTACAAGATCCTCTTCCGAGTTACACTAAAGAGTCGTTCACACTGACCATTCACAGTTAAACTGCTGATGGTTGTCTAGACGCTGTACTGTGGTTCAGTGTATCATGAGGTGGATGGCGTGAGCTCAAATGTCTATGTTCCCACTGACAGTCGCCTCAATGTTGAACTCTGTCACATCATCAGCGGTCTCAATCGCTCATGTTGCTTCTAATCGCTTACTCTCATTAAAAATGAACGACTTCTGGCCTCTTTGTTGCTGCAAATTGCTTTCAGTGTGATTACCCCTTAAGACTGTTGGTTAAATGAGGAAATCTAACGCCCTTAAAGACCCCACGAAATCAACATTGGAGTTTTGTGGTCTTTTAACTTCAAAACCATCTATATGCTAGTGGACTGCTAAAAGCTGATATATTTGAACAGAAATATCCGATTTTAAAATGTACAGTCTTTCTCTTCCAGGGAACAGACAAAATATGCTGATGCACTCATGTGCGTACCCAAATGTTTTGTCCAATAAAATGCTCTCTAGAATGAGAATATAGCTCCCCCTTATACCCCTATGCATGTGTAGAAAGAGAGCATGTCTCCAAAAACCTTGTTGAGCTGCAGATTTATGCATGCATTTTTTAATAAATTATTTTATTTTATTTTTTACAGAAACTATGTTTTGATTATATTTTTGATTATTGAGCTGCAGGTTTAGGCTCACTTAAGTGACTGCATTTTTTTCATTTATAGGGATTTTTTTTTTACAGAAAATAATTTATTTATGTTCTGATTATTGTTGAGCTGCAGGTTTAGGCTCACTTAAGTGACTGCATTTAATTAAGAAGAATTTAATTATTCATTCTAAGTATTTAGCCTGACATGTTTACTGTTCCAAAATGTTCTATATGTTTCTTAAAAATAAAATGTGTTCAGTGGGAAAAAAAGTTGTTTTTTTACCCAGACATTTAAAAATAACATATTTTAGAGCTGTAATCGCAATACTGTGATACCGTGAAACCGTGATATTTTTTTTATCTAAGATTATACCGTCAGAATCTCATACCGGCCCATGCCTACTTCAGACTGGCTTCTGATGCAAATAAAGCCTATTTGCTATTTAAAAAAAGGAAAAGCCCCTTGATATGTCTCACTCCAACTTCCTTTTTCAATAGTAAACAAATCAGCACAGGATTGTATGGGGCCTTTAACACCCCACAATATGCTTATAAACAGAATATCCCAAAAAGCATTTTTGAAAACTGTAAAAAAGCCGTAAGCAGGTTAAAAAGAAAAAAGAGTTAGTAATTGTTAGTTGGCTGGTTTATGTGCTCCCAATGCTTGCGTATTAGGTCTTCTCAGGCAGTTAGACAAAGAAAATCCTGCCAGTTCAGAGCAGATATAATCAGCAGAGATAGTCAACGGATGTACAGAGTTTCTGAGAAACTCTCAAGGAGTTATCCTGGTTAACAGTGTACGTTGTTAGTTGCTCAGCACAGTCAAACCAGGCCAGTTAACATCCACAACAGCCTGTGAGAATCCTCTTTTAGTTCCAGGACAACGCACATATACCCCAGCGGGTTAGTATGAAGCCGGAGGTGGAGGTGAAGCAGGACTAGGTCTCACTGAAGCCAGGAGCTAGAGATTGGCTCTTACCCCATTGCTGTGAGTTGAATGCAGGGACTGCTCACTGGTGGAAGAGCAAGTACTGATGCGGTCCAACTCCTTACTGTGGGTGGAGTGCCTGCGAGTCTGACACTGGTTGCGACTCAGTGTGTCACTCTGCTCTGTGTAAGAGCCAGGCCTGCCAGTAGGCGAGACTGACATTGAGGCCCAAAATGGGGAGCCTTTCTGGACTGTAAAGTTCTGAGGATTTAAGGGGGAGAGAGTGGGTGAGGGGACTTTGAGATGGGGCTTTGTTAGGGGAAGAGACAGGGGTGCGACTGTGGCTCTTGGAATGGGTGTCCCTGATTGGGTATCCTCGCGTAGCTCCTTCAAGGTACTCTCCAGAACCCGCATCCTAGGGACCTCACCGTTTAGGTCCTGGTCAGGAAGAGGACACGTACCTGAAGTGCGGTCATCTGGGGCGGGGGCGTGGTGATGCTGCACTGGCTGGGGGAGACGAGAAGAAGGTTGAGGGATTCGGGAAGCTCGGGACCGAGAGCCACAGCTGGGACCCATGGCAGAGCTGCTGCTACCCCCTGGAAGTCCACTGCTGCTGGGTCCACCCAGACCGCTTGCCCCAACATGGTTCCGTTGGTATTCAATGGGTGAAGTCAGTGCTGAGAAGACAACAAGAGGCAAGTGTTAAATACTATAACCCAGTCATAAAAGACATTTTCTTAGGTGGATATACAGTAGTGTTAAAAGTCAAGTATAATAGTAAAGATACGAACAATAACAAAAACTTCAAAAACATAGGTTAAGCCAGGGTTCGTCAATTAGTTTTCGCCGAGGGCCGAATTCTTCCAACAATACCGAGCCAAAGGCCACTGACCTATATATATATATATATATAT